TTAAGAATGCAAAATCACAATCATTCTTACATTTGACGCAGCAATTTGTAGAGAATATCCAATTTTACAGAAAAAGAACAACACCATTGAATTCGTCAGAAAAAATTGAGCAGATAAACAATTTTTTGAGAAAAATTTCATCCATGAACGTTCAAACTGGAAAAAAGGTCGGTCGATGCCTTCGACCACTGTAAGCTCGGTAATTTGCAGGAAATATGCATATTTGCCTCACACCAAAATCAAATCTTTAATTGTTAGTGGCATTTCCAAAAATTGGAACATCGACTCGAACAAATGCAGTTGATATTGTTTTCCAACAACATCAACTACAATTTATTCGCGTCGATGTTCCCGATCGGCGCGTTCTTCATTGACCTTAGCTTGTCGTTGGGTCATGCGACTCTGCAACTTACGTTCAAAGCGCCTTTCTTCACGCACCGCAGCATGACGGACATCAAGTCCGTAGCTGCTTTCTTGACGGCTTCAGCAGCTCCGTCGATAAACTTGTCGATCGATCGGCGTTTCTTGGCAACATAGAATTGCATTCCTCCTTCTGGCGTGGTACGTTTCCGTTGTTGACTCAGGTTGCGTAACGTTAACGCGATCGCATCCAACCCAGTGAAGCTTGGACGCTCATCACGTACCCGTGGCACTTCTGGAACGGATTGTTCCAGTTCGCTTGGACCTAAACGGAGATGTCACTACACATCAAATTATATAACATTGCATGTACCGGACGTTTGGGCATCCAATTCTTCGACGCCGTCATAGTTGTCGTCCACGCTAAGGACTACAGCGTCTGCATCAATGTGTCGACTGATGCGTTTGCCACGAACAACGTCATGGGGGCATGACAGATCACCTGTTGGCTAGGGGTGAACTAGGCGAACTAACAAGTTTCAAGGCGTCGACATCGCGAACTGGATACGGGCCAGAGTTATTAGCTGGTTCAACTCTGACCCACGCATTTCGTCCTTCGGGTAGGACCGCTTCGAAGTGATCCAGCATCAACAATCCAGGGCACCACCCCTTTCCTCTTCCTCCCTTGGACATCAATTTGAAAGTGACGGCTCACCAGCCAACCTCATGTACATGTACACAAGAACCCGTTTGTTATAGTATTATTATGCAGCATGAATGCGAGCGACCTGTTACGACGGATTTTAAGGGACACTGAAGTTTTGACACCACTCACTGGCGGCGACGGCTTTGCACGATCGGTGGGTTCCCTGCCTTTCACTAAAGAGGCCATGAGGGCCAGGAGAGGTTTGTATTGGGAAGGGACTTTAGACGGTTGGTCGCCGGTGACGACCAGTCATACAGTCGTCTCGTCGTTGTGCATGTCGACTCCGGTTGTAGCTGGCTTCGCTAAAGCCCGAGTCAAGAAGAAGGTTGCGAGAAGTCTTACGGTCTGACGTTGTGAAGGAACTCGGTGCGGCATTCAACAATGACGTCGCTCAATAAATGGAGTTTGGTCCGTTGCCTACACTGTAGA